CATAAATTTGTTGGCGACTCGTGATCGCCAAGGTATTCTTTTAAACCCAATATTGAATATTTATTTTCTATCTTTTAAAATATCTTTCATTACTTAAGCTGATTTTTTTATTAATAGAATTACATTTAAAATAAATCAAAAACTTAATCTTTTTAAACGAACATAAAATATTTATTTCTTCTCTTCCAGATCAATGTAACGGATACTTTTTACTTCATTATTATGCAGACATATTAATTCACTGTCACCTCTAATCGAAAACAAAAATCTATTTATAACTTTTTATTCTAAATTTCCAACGGCTAAATGTTTCGGTTGCATGGTTGTAATAATTCTCAGAAATTTGTTGGCGACTCGTGATCGCCAAGGTGTTCATTTACATCCATGTTGATATGCTAGTTGGCTTTGTTTTAGCTATGGTATATTAGGAAAAATCGCCAAATTATGGATCTCCTACCCATACTTTCTATGTCCGTTGGGAATAATTATATTCACTTTTAATTTCAAATTTGTGGAGGCTGGGAGCCCTTTGGGGGCCTAACCAGTCTCAATTTTTCTAACCATCAGAAATGATATTCTGGCTTTATGATCTCTCAATAGAGAGTATTCTGATTTCATCCCTGTAAGGGATTTCTTATTTTGTTTGTTGAAGAAGTGGCCATTGTCTAAATCAAATTATGCTTAGCAAAATCTAAATTTACATTCAACGATTTGTACATTATTTCCTGGAAACTCAATTGTTCAATTCATTCATTAATGGCCTAAATGAACATTCATGTACTACACTATACAACTATTGGCGGCTACTGACGGAGACACAAAAGCTCCGTCACACATCTGAAAAAAAACAACGAAATAAATGTAAGAATTGCAGGCGTACTAAGGTATGGTTAGACTTAAATGAGAAATTTGAGATGTTATAGCGCAAAAATGCGGCTTTAGAACACGAAGATCGGGAATTAGAAGTGTATGAGGAAATTGACTCGAAAGTTGAGAAAACGGAAACGCCTGTCTTGAAGAAGACAACTATATCTAAGAGTGCACAAACTTCAAACAGTTTGAAGACAATAGAAAATGAGGATACTTTATCTGAGAACACTACAACTAATAGTAACACGAGTCGAGGAGATAAATTTATGAACTGGTTACGAAGAAAGCTAATTGCTTGCAAAAATAAAATAATTCGATTTAATTTTAAATAGTTTGAATTTGAAACGAAAACAGACCACACAACTGAATGAAAGCAATTGTCTTTACTTCCATACACTGTGACTTAAATCAACTCGATGTTATACAGATCTCATCTAAGAAATCAGATGGAGAAGTCACCAAAATAATACCCGAAGGAAGGTTCTTGCTACTAAATAAAAAGCAAATGTCAAAAAGAACCAAAAAATTACAATACGTAATAAAAGCACTAAAAAGTCTTCAATGAATAATGGAACATTTACCACCAATTGAAGTAAAACGCCTCGTGTACCTAAAATCGAATAAGATATCAGAAGGAGATTTCACCAAAATAATCTCCAATGGAATGTTCTTCTTGCTAAATATGTCAAAATGACAAAAAAGGAACAATATACTGTGTGTTAATCAAAGAGCAAATGAGTCCTCAAAGAACAACTGACCTGTTTCTAACAGATTAATCAAAATGCCTCGTAAACCTTCAATCACAAGTACAGCCGCAGATGAATTTGTTTAACAATATTACAGACCTTTCAACTGCTAGAATGACTGCGTATACTCAAGGATTGCACATGATGCTTAGTAACACCAAAGATATACACAGAGAGCTCATCGTCTTAAATTCTTAATGGTTTAGTGTATTATTTGCTGTAAAAACATTTCTCCTCCATTTTTACAAAAAAAAAAGAAGAGTAATTCTTGCTACTGAATAAAAAACAAATGTCTAAAAGAACCGAAAAATTACAATACGTAAGAAAAGCATAAAAGAATCCTCAATGAATTACTAAACATTTTCCACCAGATAAAGTAAAACGCCTCGTGTACCTTAAATCGAATAAGAAAGAGATTTCACCAAAATAATCTCCAATGGAAAGTTCTTCTTGCTAAATAGAAAAAAATGTCAAAATGAAAAAAAAGGAACAATATACTGTGCATTAATCAAAGAGCAAAACAGTTCTTAAAGAACGACTGACCTGTTTCTAACAGATGAATCAAAATGCCTCGTAAACCGTCAATTACAAGTACAGCCGCATATGAATTTGTTTAGCAATATTACAGACCTTTCAACTGCTAGAATGACAACGTATACTCAAGGATTGCTCATGATGCTTAGTAAAACCAAAGATGTACGCGGAAAGCTCATCGTCTTAATTTCTTAATGGTTTAGCGTAATATCTGCTGTAAAAACGCTTCTCCTCCATTTTTACAACAAAAAAAAGAAGTGAAAAAATAACTTAAAACGTAATGTGCTATCTTAAGATACGTATATTTTGCTGTTTAAAGATGGTTTGAATGTAGAATATCTGACCATTGTACTGTAATCACCTTAAAACAAAATTGAATAAATGTATTTTTATCGTTAAAGTTTGTTGTTTATGTGCAAATATTTTAATTATTTAATTAATGCATATTAGCTTGAATTGTGCAATAAATACAATTTTTAAACTTGTTTTAAATTAGTCATTTAAGATTCGCCGTGCTCTAATGTTGCTGTCAAGGTCCGTATNTTTTTTTTTTTTTTTTTTTTTTTTTTTTTTTTTTTTTTTTTTTTTTTTTAAATCTAGTTTGTTTGTTTTTTAATTTAAACCAGGCCTTTTTGTTGGTTTATTTAAAATTAAAGATTAAATAGTATCTTAAGCACAAAACTAAAAGCAACCAAATCATTAAAAATCATTTTCCAAGTATTTTTTTTTTCAATTTTTGATTTACATTTTCTAAAAGGATTCGAATTTATTCCCTTTTTTCATATAAATATAAGAATATGATAAAAAATGCAATTAAAGATTTTAAATATGCCTACTTCACTAACGTAAAGGCACCAAAAACGGCAACAAATAATTTTAAATAAAAAATTTTTAATTATTTTAGCTATATTAATTGAAACATTTGGTGGAAGAACAAGGTAAAGTGACATTTTCAAAACAAAATAAAAATTGTATCCGAACTATTTTATCACCAATTTATTAGAAGTCGGGACTAATAATTCTGTGCTTTAAATATGAAATAAAAATCAATCAAGCATACTAAAAACTGATGTGTTTTAGTTATTTTAAGATTAAAGTAAAGACAAAACCAGTTTTGTTACATTATACAAAGCCATATTGATGCAACCACTTTTTATTATTTCCTCTGATTCATTAGTTCCCCTAAAATTTTCACTTACATGGTTATTCAAGCAATCTCTTAATTCTGTTGGTAAATGCTTTTCAGTCTTGAGCTTTTTCGTAGCTCAGTACAGAGTGATTGATTCCTTATTTAATTTTTATTCATCTCGTGTGAAGTGAATTATATTTTGATCAGTGTTCTTGGTTTGACAATGCAGATACTTTACAAATTATCATTATCATTACAATTATCAGATACTTAAGTAATATTTAGAGCTTATTACTCAATGATTTAAGGCAACGCTTCCTATAAGTTGGAAGAAAAAAACCTCAACACGGATTCTTTAAAATAGTCTGCTCAGATTAATTTTTGAAGAAAGAGTTAATTTGTTCATATAATACTAAAAGAAAACAAAAAAAAATTTTAAATATAAATTATTTAAACTTCTACGAAAAAAACGCGCTTAAAAGCAGCAGAAATTTCACAAAAAGGATAAATGTAGCAATAAAGGAAACGAAGGAAATAAAAATAAAAATATGATCACAGAAGTCGACGTCTTCAGGGGGTACCGGCCCCGGTAGCCATAAAACATAACCTTTCCTATTGAGGGGGACTGGTTAAAGTGAGTTTTGAGTTCTTATTTTTTATTTTCTGATGAATTTGTTTGAGTTTCTTTTCTAAATTGGTTCTTTGTATTTCATGTTTTTTTCTTGGACTTCTATACAAAACCTTCGGGGTACTGAGGCTGTTACTTTAGGCATTTGCCTCCCCCTCAATAAAAAAGGTTTTGTTTTATGGCTAAATGCCATCGCAATTTTGATCCTCTGCAAAAGGGATGGCTACCTTGCTTTGGTAGTCCGACGACCTGGGCGTGAAGTCGAGCACTTTACTGTTGAACAGTTTAACGAGGACCGATATCGCGCACCCTTTGGTCCCTACACAGGCCGATCAAAGTGGTCACCTACCCACTTACTGACCACATCCAGTGATGCGTGACTTCTACTAGGAATCGTTCTACTAGGAATCGTGTCTTTACGATCAGTTCACTGCGTGACTTGTCTAAATGATTGCCTTTGCTTAAAGGCAAAAAATAAACATGTAAGAAAGTACCGAGTGAAAATTTTATTAATTTACCCTACTCTAAAGTAAATGGACAATTTTTATATTTTAAACATTTTTGCCCTATTTCAGAATTCCCTACACTGTTATAAGCTTTGAATCCTGACATACTTTGAATCATAATGAACTTTAAAACATAATAAAGGTAACTTGAATCATATTAAAAACCACATTTACCATAACCTTACAAAAAGGTTAAGTTAATCTATGTTTCTGTTCAATTTGAACCATCGTATCGTGTAATCACGATCAGTACGATGATATGGTGCATATTAGCACAACAATTACATTTTGAGAAAATTTTGATTCAACACGTTCTGAATTCATGACAGATTATATCTAACTTTTATTTTTAGTTCATAACGACAACAACAAATGATTCAAAGTGAAAAATAGGTCACCCTGGATTTGAAATAATTATTTAATGGATGTTTAAAAGTTTAAAAGTTTGCATTTAATAAACCAAACAATAGTAAACTAAACAATTCATTCACATATACAATTTATGAATTGTTTTAAAAGTATTCAATTAACCTACAATCCCTATTTCAATATAATCAATCCCTCTTGAAATTATGATAACATCTACTTGTGTTGTAATCATATATACCCCATTTACTCGAATTTAAGATTGCCTGTATTTGTTAGATAATGATAACTAGTAGTTATGATTTTCTTTAATCTTACTTTATGATTGCAAGTTGTCAGGATCCTGATTCCTCTCCCACGCATTGGATTGACCCCTTGACCTGAGGGTCAGAGGGGGAAGGACACTGGAGGTGTCGTCCCCTACCTTGGGGGTGGAGCAAATGACTGTTTCTGAGGAGAAAGAGGATTTTTAGAGATCAGATTCGTTTTGAACGCCGAAGAGTAGAGTTGTAATTGAACGATGATAGATTTAGTATGAACAAAAAGAAAGGGAGCAGTTGCGCTCCAAAAACATTATACTCAACAGCTCATGTATCTATTTGTAACTTTTCTGTAAATAATTCTATAATCAAGAATTTAATAATAAATAAGCTATAATTGAAATAATCCTGGGTCATCCTTCTTGAGGAGGTCTTTAAAAACGAACCAAGAGACAAAATGTCTCACACAAGTAGTCACAAAATTAGACTTCTTGTAGTGATTATAAACGATCATAACCGTTTGTAACGAGAAATAATATTTGTTTCTGTGATTACTTGTAATCATGATCATTACAAGTAGTTGATTTATCTATAATTATTACATTTGTAATCGATTACTGTAATTGACGCTCAACTTGCAATGAAAATGATTTTTCTCTGGTTATTCAAAATTTTATTCAGAAAATTAGTCATGACTAATGAATTTATTCATTAATCATTATTTAAAAATTTGCATAAATTTGCATAATGAATGATGAATAATGACTAAATTTGCATATGAATAATCATTCAGAATAAATTTATTTCGAATAAATTTAGTCATGAATAAAATTTCCGTGAATGATGCCCATCACTGATCAAAAGTCAATTTTGAACCACATAAATGTCAAACGATATTATGATCAATATCGTTTGACACTCTAACACATCAAAAAGGGTAGCCTTGACACAAATCCATTCTAAGGATAGGTATTGGCTAGGCACGGAATAAATCACCAAGTTTGGTAAACTCATCGCCGAAATGCACATTTTATAGTGTTTAAGTATTTGTATTTTAGTATTTTATAGTGTTTTAGTATTTGTATTTTAGTATTTTATAGTGTTTTAGTATTTTATAGTGCTGTAGTTATTTTATAGCATTAGTGATAAATATGAGCCAACATGGCACAGTAGTTAAGTCGTTGAGATGTTATAGTGAAAGACTGGTGGAGGTCTTAAGCCGACAAATTTCAGATCAATAGATGCCAACCCGGTCAGCAAAGTAAAGGCTACAATTCGGTCAGCAATATTGTTGTTGTTGTTACGCATCCCCTTGGAGAAGGAAAGCCTAGACTAGGTTCAGAAGGCCCCGTCGCGTCAGTTCCTCATATATCTGCAAAAAGTCCCGATCAACCAGCAGCAGCTTAGAAGAAGCGCCAATGCAAAAAAGAAGGTGATCAGGACTAGCAGGTTGGTCAGCAATACTGATCACAGTTAATCAACAGATCACATTACCATATTCATGCCGTTGGTCTAATTTTAGAGTCTTAACCTCTGATGACCCCTCAGGTCCGCGATGGACTGCTTCGAAAATAGTTCACTTTAGTAATAAATATATTAAAACTATTGTAAGATGTTTAAAAATTTCACACAAATTTATAAACACCTGAATTTTTAAAATAAATTTTTAAGAGGAAAACTTTCTAATAAAGTCTCGCAAATTTTTTAGTTTCAACGTTCATTAAAGTGTTTTAAAACTTTATATTTTTGAGAGACAGGAACATTTTTTTTTAAATGAAAAACCTGAACTGTCAAAAATATTGCAGTTTGGCTCTAATCGAACAATTTACCTAAATAAATTTTTATATTATTTTCTTTATTTGGCGGTTAGCTTTGAAAACCAGAGAGTAGCCAAAAATTAAACTCGTGGAAATTTACTCAAGTTATTAATAAGAACGTATTACAAACAAATTTTTTCTAAAGAAATTCGTTTAAAACTATTTTTACGCTGTCTAAATTTGTTTATTTATATTTTTATCTTTTTCCTAATTTACTATATCGTTTGAAAAAATATCACCAACTAGAAACTCTAAATTATCATAGAAGTTTTTAGCGCAACGTGTAGAGCTAAGAGTGCTAGCATCGATCCAACCTTTCTTACAAGACATTTAAAAGTTAAAAGTAAAAACATACGCAAATCACCAGATAAACGACATTTTTTTTCTTATTCAAACATTAAGATCTGGCTAACATTTAAATCAAGTAACCGGACGTCCTACTGAAATTATTTTTTTTCCTTAAATTATTCTACTAATAAATTTTAGGTTTAATGGGAAAGAAGTACTAAAAGAGGTAAAACACTTAAGAAAAAAGAATATTAACGTGACAGAATGTATATATTTATTGCATTACAACAAATCTCAGAAGAACGTAAATGTTTTGTAAAAAGTAAAATAAATTTAACTGCAACTGTAGCAGTCATGTTATCCAAACGATTGCGTAAATTTGCAGTTTTTAAGAAGAAGAAAAAACCTCTAAAGTTTGAAATTGTCTTTTTTTTTTCTTTTTTTTTTAAGTTTCTGAACTTTTATAGAGTATCGTGATGTTCTTATTTTTCAAGAGACATTTTTGAGAAAAAAATAAATATTTCGAATACTTGATCACACTTTTTAAATATATTAAAGTTAAATATATAAAATTTTTAAATATCTAGTGAATATTTCCATATTTATCAATTATATAAGTTTTATTAGAAAATTTATTAAATAAATCGTTTTGATTTATATATTTGTATTAAGTATGTAGATTTATTCAAGCAAAAATATTATATTATTATTAACATAAGTATTATTATAAGAATAAGTATTAAGTTTAAGTATTATTCAAGTATAAATTATTCGATAAAGCATTTATATTAGTATAACTAATAAAATATAGTTTAAATGAATTCTTATTTACTTTACATCTATCCATTGAAATAATAATAACACTGGGGAATAAATTTTCCGCTGAATTAATTCTTAAATTTTCTGCAAATACTTGATCTTACCTGATTCGGGTGTGGGAATTTCAAATCAGAAATTAGTTTCGCTCCTTAAGCGGAAGATTTTTAATGACCTTTTCAGTTTTTTTTCGAAAAGGACAAGAGTTTTGGCTTTGAGCAAGAGCAACGGTAAATGATACTGTTCAGAGCTAATCTTTATTTTGATGGAATTGACCACTAGAAATGAATTTTTCTTAATTTAATAACATTAAGCCACCAGGAACGGCAAGAAATATTATGGATAGAAATTTTTTTTTTATTATTTTAGCATTTTAAATTGCTAGCTTCATTGATATATGAAGCATTATTTATTTCAGTTTATTAACTTAACTAAATTAATTTATATATTTCTTTTCTGTTGGTATGTCTCTTTTATTTTTGAGCTTCATTTTGTAGTGAAAGCTCAGTACTGATTATTAATTGTTCTGAAAACTTTTTATTGCATTTATGCACATACTTGATCTTGCCGAAATCGGCAGTGGAGATTTCAAATCTGAAATTCGTTTAGCTTCTAAAGCTATAAGTTGTTTTTAAAAATGACACTTTTAGTCAATTTTTTGTTGAAACGACAAAAAAATAGACTAAAATACGAGTTTAAAAAGTTTTCTATAGCAGGAGGACGCTTAAATTTCGCGACATACTTCTAGGGGAGTTAGAGCATATCACCGGGATTAAAATAGCATATGAACCAATGACCGGAAATACCGTCATACGCGGCTAGGGGCCTTTCTTTTTTCTGTGACCTGTTCAGAAGCACACGAAGACGTATGCAAGAGAAGAGCCCTTTAACGGCCTAAAACGACATTTCGAGACAAGGGTTCGTTTGCAGTTTTTACCCTGATGATGTGCCTTAATTTCCCTAGAGGTCAGTCGCAAGATTCGTGCGATCCCCTGTTATTTATAACGTTTCTAAACTTGTACATTTCTACAAAAAATAGACTAAAATGTCATTTTAAAAAATCTGAAGCTTGGAGTGAGAAGCCAACTTCAGACTTGTTATCAGCGATACAAGAGTATCTAAGATCTGATAAAAAAAAATCTCATGTAACAGCGAAAAAAGTGTTCCCTAGTGTAATAGATTATTTTTATATTCATTTTTTATATTTATTTTTTATATTCATTTTTTATATTTATATTTATCTCTTATAATTTATTGTGGATTGAACAACAATAACATTAGCAGCAGCGTGCATAAAAACAATCGTAAAGGTAACTGAAAGATAATACTAAGCCGCATAAGATAAACAAAAGAATAACAACCTACTGTAAAAATAGTTCAATAATCAGTTGTGAGATGGCGCCACTTTCCCTCAGAAAAATATCGAGCTATATATCAAAATGGCCTTAATAAATAATAGCGACGTGATTTATTCGCGAATTAGGTAGGATAAAAATTATTCATTTATTTATATATTTTTTGTTTTGTTTTAGGTTTAGTTTAATATATTATTTTGTTGAGTACAATCCATTTAAGTCAAGGAAAATGGCGAAAGATAAGACATCAGTAAAAATATGTATCGTGCCTATAACTTCTTGGAACTGTGAAGCCTAATTTCTCTTCTTTCAAGCATGCATATTATTCTTCTGGTATTTTGTTTATTTCCTCATTTTTACTGTTTATCACTATATTTTTAGTTGCTCATAACAATTTCATAATAATCGATTCAATTCTTGTAATATGTATACATCATTTACCAATTTTCCATCGTGGATTTACAAATATTAGTATAAACATGTA